GTGCGGCCCTCCAGCCAGTTGGCGACACATTTGACTGTGTAAAAGGCAGATACTTTGCAAAGATTCTGAGTAACTGAGTAAAGATTCAAAGTACCTGAGTAACTTCCACTTCCTTAGATCATCCTTTTTGTAAAGAGGGTGGCTTCTGTTTTCTTCATTTCTAGTTTTTAATTTAAAAAGCTTTAGGATAATAATTTTTAAAGCACTTTAAAATTAGTCCCAGCTGTCACCTTGCACCTGTTTGAACTATATATGCATTTAATTCATCACGGTACATCCAAAATAATAGATATGCAATAAAACATAAAACCTAATACATTAAGGAGGCCATAAAGTGAATTAACCCAGCTATAAAGACTTGACATGCAGTTACTTGGGATCATATTTAGATCAATGGGTTTTCAAAGTCACAGGACGTCTAAGCAAGTTCCAATAGCCCTTTGAATGAGTTGGTGGTTCAGTGAATTTTAAATAGGTAATGAAAATAAGGCAGGTACAAAATAGTACCTAAAGAACAGTCAGAAATCAGTAAGCATTCCGAAGTATTTTAAAGAAATTATACAGAAAATTATCAAGAAATAATACTAAGGATATTTCAAAAGAACTTTAATTGGAAAAAAGAAAGTTCTCTAACTTAAAAGCAAAATTGGCCCCTTTGTCACCTTATTCTCCATTTTGAATCTTTTCAAAGTATCTTAGCAGATCCTTTATTAGGAGAGGGCAATGGTTCCCCAGCATTTTCATGCAAGATGGCATCACTGAAGGACCTAGCAACTCCGCAGCTTTTGTCAGTAAAGTAGAGCGCATCTTTTTTTTTCTGGTTAAAAATGTACTCAATTAACATAATCCTGTGGAAAATAATTCTGAAACATTTGTTCTCCAAATGATTGTCTTGGGTGCGTAATTTGGTTTTGGAATCTTTAAGTGCCCCTGAACTTTGTGTTAATCACTTCATTATGAGCCAGAACTTCAGTCATTAGAAATAAACTGCTGCTTTTAAAGGTACAAAATCCCCCATATTTTTCATAGATGTGACCCAAGGTAGTCACAGCTTACTTGTTCAAATCCACACAAGTTAAGTCAGTCACTCTTGAATCAGGGCAATAGGTTTGCAAACGTGGTTGTTCAGCAAGCTGTGGAATCTAATTATAAGAATTCAATGACATCATAAAGTCTGAATCTAATTTACCCTTCTCCAAAATTGCTGTTACATTTATTTCAGTGCACCATGTGCCTGTTTAGTATAGTGCAAGGGAGGTTTGAAGATGACCTTGATGATTTGAAGAGTTGTGCTCTCCAATTTGTCTTTCTTTTGTGGCTCTGGAGCTTACATTTTATTTTAAAACTCTCATGGCTTTTCCGTAATTAACCATGGCCCTGCACATTGGCTCCAACATAGTTCCAACATATTCTTATATTCACTTTCTTTCTCTCTCTCGCTCTCTGTCTCTCTCTCACACACACACAGAATTTTTAGTTGATTATTTGCCAAGTAGTAGAAAATGAATGGAAAATGGCTACAACAGGGTAATTGTATAACTTGAGAAAAATAATAGTTCCAGTTACAACATTGCAAGTATGAATTCTAATAATTTAAATGATAATTTAAATCAGAGGTGTCAAAGCTGTAGCCTGCAAGTGCATCCTCCAGCCCACAGTGCTGCCTGCGGGTCATGGAGCAATACAGCACACACTAGCCGTGGCCCAGTGTAGGCGTGATCCGTAGTGAGAAAATTGTTCTTGGTATCTAACCTGAACTTCCCTTGCTGCAGCTTGAGACAGTTGCTCCTTCTTCTGTCATCTGCCACCACTGAGAACAGTTTAGCGCCATCCTCTTTTGAACCCTGCTTGAAGTAGGTGAAGACTGCAATTAAACCCCCTCTCAGGCTCCTCTTCTCCAGACGAAATAAGCCCAGTTCCTTCAGTCTTTCTTCATAAATCATGTCCCTCAGCCGCCTTACCATTTTTGTTGCCCTCTGCTGGACTCTCTCCAATTTGTCCACATCCTTTTTGTAGTGGGGTCCCAAAACTGAACACACTGTGCCAGATGTGGCGTCACCAGTATTGAATAGAGGGGAATAATCACTTCCCTTGACCTGCTGCCAACTAGGCCTGTGTGAAGCGGCTAGTATTTGCTTCGATTTGGATTTGGCCAATTTGGGGGACAGTGATTTGATGCAGTGATTCAAATCACTGTCCTGAATCGATTCAGCTGAATCTGATTTGGAAGTTCGGCCGCTGCAAAATTGGCCAAATCTCCAAGTCAAACAGGCCCCATCCCCTGCCTGCTCTCCCAGCCCTGGCAATGGCTACCCCTCCTGCCCCAGCTGCTGGCACTTGGGGAAAAAAAAGCCCCAACTCACCAAGTGCTGCCGGATGTGGGGGGGGGCAATCCCCACTGCCTCCCATTGCACCAAGCTGTGTGGGGGGCTCTGCATGAGCCCCTGACCCTTGCCTGCTGTCCCAGCACCCCCCCCCCATGGCTGCCCCACCTGCCCCAGCTCCAGTCCTTTAAGGGGAAAAAAAGCAAGACCCCCCCCGACTTGCTGGTTCCTGCCCGGCAGGGGGTGATCCCCACTGCCCCCCTCTTACCTCGTGCTGTGTGAAGGGTTCTGCATGAGCCCCCCAAAGCCCTAATGCCACTGCTGAAGCCAGTGAGCCCCAGGGTTTTTCTCGGTTTTTTTTACTTGAAGGGCCAGAGCTGGGGTGGGCAGGGCAGCCATGGGGGTGCTGGAGGAGCAAGGGAGGGTCAGGTGGGTCATGACAGTGTTAAGCAGTGGGAGGCAGTAGGGATCATCCCCCAACCCAGAAGGACCTGGTGAGTTGGGGAGGGTTTAAAGCACCAGGAACTGGGGTGGT